AGAAGCTCCATAGATTGAGCCAGGCAGGCACCCCCAAAGTACTTTAAATATATAGATCTGCAGTCTATATTCTATAATTCCAAAATCTAAAATGCTTGAAAGAATTTTTTCATATATTTGATACCAAAACTTGTTTGATAATAGCACTTTTGCTAAACTGACATAAAACTACATATATTATTAGTGTATCTGATTTAGTGTAAATATTTATGTTTAATTTGTTAGGTTATGGGATGCTGTCCCTAATCCTCCTGATGGTGCTACATAATAGATGGCATATCATGTTACTTTTCTAAAATTCAAAAGATTTTTATGCCTAAAACACTTGACCTTAAGTATTTTGGGTCAGGGATTGTAGGCCTATTTATAGCACTGATTACAGTGTGCTGTGGCTTTGTTCCCTTATCTATCTTTCCTTTTCTGAGCTAGGTAAGAATTCCTCCTTGGGCCTACACACAGACCCTAGCTTATTGGCCTAAACAGAGTGGGCACATAATACTGGAATTGAATACTATTAGATGGGGCAAACTTTACCAGATGGATTATTGAACTACAGATAACATGTTTTTTCACTTGGTCTTATTTTCTTTTTAAGCAGTCTTTTTTCTGCTTCTGTTTTCTTTCTTCTTGCTGGAATCTTGGTTTCATCATTTACTAATCATATGGTTTTGTTATTTAACACCCTTATATGTTAAGTTTTTTCATTTATAAAAATGGCCTAACAATTTTGCCTGCCTCAAAGGATTGATGTGAGGGCTAAACAGAATGCTTCCTAGAATTTAGCACTTCTTTTGTTGTTAATGTAGTTGTTATTGATCATGTCCTCTTGGTTACTTTACTAACATCCCATTCCCTTATTAATGGACTTTGAAGTCATTTTCTGTGCTTTAACTTATAACACTGCTGGGTATGATCCTTCCATATATGGCTGCAAGTCCTTGTAACCTTATTTTTTTAGGATAGATAGAATTCAATTGTTGGATCACTGGGCCCTAATATTTTTTCATTTCGATGGATACTTTTCATGATACTTCACTAAACCAAAATTGAGATGGAGTGGGGAAGGCAGCAGTTTTTAGTTCTGTCAGCAATCTGTTAGAGGGCTCACTTGCTTTTATAACCGTACCAGCAATGGATTTTATCAATTCACTTGTGGTTTTTTTTATTTAATTAATTTCTTTATCTTTAAAGATTATTTATTTGAGAGGGAGTGCGAGAGAGAGTGTACTCATGAGCAGAGTTGGGAAGGTACAGAGAGAGAGAGAGAGAGAGAGAGAGAGAGAGAGAAGACTGATGAGGGACTCAGTCCTAGGATCCCAAGGTCATGATATGAGCTGAAGTCAGATGCTTAACTGACTGAGCCACCCAGGCACCCCTGTTTTTTATTTTAATGTAATTATAGACTCACAGGACATTGGAAAAAGTCCATGCATATGTCACCCAGCTTCCTCTGGTGGTAACATCATTATAAATATAGTATAATATCAAATCCAGGCGTTTGATGTTAGCATAGTACTGTTAACTAAGACTTGGATTCATTTGCTTTCTTCCAATCTGATCAATGGTATCTTGATTTAATTATTTTCCCCCAAACTTGATAAGTTTGGGCTTCTTTTCATGTGTTCTAGTGACCATTTATGTTGCATGTTTTACAATTATTCATATCCTTTATCTATTATTTAATTGTTAGTATTTTCCTAAAAGCAGCTCTCTTAAGGCTATTCATTGTTTTGTCTGCCATATGTTTTGCAGTTTCTTATTTCAGCCTTATATACTTTTTTTTTTTAAGATTTTATTTATTTATTTATTCATGAGAGAGACAGAGAGAGTGAGGCAGAGACACAGGCAGAGGGAGAAGCCGGCTCCATGCAGGGAGCCCGGATTTAGGACCCGATCCCGGGATTCCAGGACCACGCCCTGGACTGAAGGCAGGCACTAAACTGCTGAGCCATCCAGGGATCTGCAGCTTCATATACTTTCCATAGAAAGTTGGTTGATTTTGTTTTTATCCTACGTAGAGCTTTTTTATTTTTGTGTAGTCCGTGTGTTTCTCTTTTGTGGTTCTTAGGTTTTCTTTCTTATTTAGAAAGGTTTATCCATTTAGCAGGTTATATACTATTTTCCTTTTTAATTTTAAGATTTTATTTATTTGAGAGAGCATGAGCAGGGGGGAGGGGCAAAGGGAGAGGTAGAAGCGGACTCTATGCTGGATCCCAGATCCCTGAGATCATAACCTGAGCCGAAGGCAGACAACCCACTGAGCCACCCAGGCACCCCCTATTTTCCTTTTAATATTTTCTACTTTTTACTTTTTGGTCTTTAATCCATTTGGAATGTGTTTTGGATATACTGTGAGAATTCTTTTTTTTTTTTTTTTTTTTTTACTGTGAGAATTCTTTTTTTTTTTTTTTTTTTTAATTTTTATTTATTTATGATAGTCACACACAGAGAGAGAGAGAGAGGCAGAGACACAGGCAGAGGGAGAAGCAGGCTCCATGCACTGGGAGCCCGATGTGGGATTCGATCCCGGGTCTCCAGGATCGCGCCCTGGGCCAAAGGCAGGCGCCAAACCGCTGCGCCACCCAGGGATCCCGAGAATTCTTTTTCTCAGATGTGTAACATGCTATTCCAGCACTACTTAACATAAACTGTTTTATTCATGACTCTTTTGGTTGCTTATGGCTTTAAAACCTCAGCATTTCCAAAGGTAGGAGTGGCTTGAGGCAAGGCTTGATATAGTGGCAAAGTAATATTGCTAAAATTATTGCTGTTTTCTTTTTTCATTTTTCATTTTAGTGCCTTTGGGGGTGCTGTATTTTTCCCTGTAATTCTTACCCAACACTTCCTTTGTCTGTCCCGTGTGATGTTTACCCCAATCCCAGATGCTTTCCTGATGGTCACATGATTGAAAGTTTTAGGCATTACTTCCTCTTACTGCTCAGGGGAAGAGAAAGAAGGTCTTTCTGAAGCTTTTCAGCAGAGCAAGTTTCTTTTCTTAAGTGCCCAAGTAAATAGCTCCTTAGATTGTTGCCCCAAATTAGGTCATGTGTCTGTTCCTGAATCTTTCCCTGTGGGGTGGGGAATGGGGTGTACACAGAAATGCTGATTGGCTTTTTATACCAGGAAATGTGACTTAACAGTTTGGACTTATACCTGTGATGCGCATGGGATTAATTCTGTCTCAACCACCTGTATGAGGAAGAGAAGGGGGATAATGTTTCATGGGAAATTTTAGGTATTATCTCCAGAGGAGGGTTCAAGTAGATGCCAGGTAGTAAAACCACAGGTGACCAGGTCATGACTCTGTCTCCTTCCTACTACATAGATCATAGAGAAAGGTACAGAATCTACAAAGGTACAGAAATTGCACCTTTTACATTTTTTATGATCTGTTTCTGAATTTTATTCTAGTAGCAGTCCAGGGTGTTCATTTGTCTATTTATCCTGTCCTAGAAGCATACTGCTTCAATAATAGTAGCTTAGAATACATTTTAATATCTTCATAACAAGGCTTCCATCTTTTTTCCCCCAGAAATTTCTTATATATTTATTTGATATGAACTTTGGGATTCTGACTAGATTGCATTATGCATATTTTTAAGATGAAAATTCCAAATTATATAAAAATATCTATAAGAATCAAACTGAAGACTCAATACTTTCTTTAGCAAAAATTAAAAAAAAATTTTTTTTCTTGGTTGCCCTCCATTGTCTTTACAGTTTTTGACCCTCAACACTTTCACAAATACCAGAAGGCAATGAACCATGGTCCTGCTCACCCCACAGAGAACTCCTATCATTGAGTATTCCCAGGATAACTGGCAGCCTCTTCTAGCAGCCTTATTCGGGTTATTGAGTGTTACCAGCAGAGAACTGAGAGGGAGAACTGCTGGAAATGTTCAGATAAGCTGCCTTATCCCTCAGATCTGAGGAAAAAATTTTTTAGTACTATAGTTATAATGAAGGAAGTTACTACTTCTACTTAAGTTACTACTGAAGGAAGCTGGGTGACATATGCATGGGACTATTTTTCCAATTTCCTGTGAGTCTATAATTGCTTTAAAATAAAAATTTTTTTACATCTTCCGTTAAATTGCTATTTGTTATGTTAGATAAGTACAAAAAGATAGGAAAATAAGATGTGATAACAGAAAGGAAAATAATTATAGTTTTTACAGACAATTATATTCCTAAAACTCTAGAAATATGGTAAATGTATATTGGAATTAGTAAACATTTAACCAAGGTGCTACATAGAAGATAAATATTCCAAAACTTACTTTATACCTCTTTAAGTGATACTGTGTTAGGTCTAAGTACAAGAGACGATTTTGTGTGTGTGTGTGTGTATGACATCACTATTGTATACTTGAAACTAATATAATGTTATATGTCAGTTATATCAATAAAAATATAAAAAATAAATACAAGAGACCATAGAAATGTGTTCATTTCATACCTCAGATTTAGTGTGTTGCAGTAGTCTGCAAAGAGATTTTTATATATATAAAATATATATATATTTTTAAGGAGACTAATATTGTTTATTTGGATCTGTATGTATATTCTTTCCTTCCCCTATTTTACTTCTGGACCTGTAAAACTTGTGTTAAATGAAGGAGAATGTTTTGTTTTGTTTTGTTTTAATTTTAGCTTTATTGAGGTATAATTGACAAAATTGTAAGTGAAATACGATATTTACAAAATATATTTGTAAGACTTCTGTAAGATACATGTTTTCTTACATGTTATATATTAGATCAGGATTAAGAAAATGAAAGAATTATTTTTCCTTCATATATATGGGGATGAATTTTATATCTATTTTCTCTATGGCAGCCTCTCTGTAGATTGTTAGACTTTTTATAGTTTATAAAATGTGTTTATGTCAAATGATGTTGATCAGTTAATTTTATCTTATGTCAGTGTTACAATAGGATACTCAGAGACAGAAACTAATCATTGTGTTCCTCTTGTTTTTGTTTTTGTTTTTTTTGCAGTGGGACTTCTCCTCTTGCATGCCTGAATGCAATGCTGCACACAAACTCCCGAGGTGAAGAGGGCATCTTCTATAAAGTTCCAGGTAGAATGGGAGTATATACTTTGAAGGTAAATATTTTTGTTAAGGCATCATTTATAAAGTAAAATAAGAAGTGACTATGTCTAAATGATATTTGTATCATAGACACAGAATTCTGTTCTTGAAGAGCTCATTTTTAGGAAAAGGTAATATGTAATATGTTCAACTCTGTATCCTGTACATTTTTATTCTAATCTGTGGCCATCTGTGGGTAGACTAGAGAAGTAACTATTTTTTATTCTTTATGATAATACTGTCTTGAAAGGATGAACTGAAAATGACTTCCAGTGACTTTTTGAAGGACCTCACAACATTTGAATAATAAGTGTTAACTTGGAGCATACAGACCTGATGCTTTATAAATTGCTATTTAATTCTCCATTATAGTTCAGAGCTGTGGTTCTTCTTTTTTTGTAATAGAGAAAGCCCAAGTTCAGAAGATTCGATTTTCTTGTTTAGTGTTCACCAGATAGTGTAAGAACTGGAATATGGACCAAGATCTGACTGGATTCCTGAGCTCATGTTCTTTTTACCATACCAGCCTTGCTGATTTCTAATTCTGGCACCGAGAAGACACTTGACTTTCAGTGTCCCTTCACTTACAAACCAGAAAACCAACTCAAATGAGCTTGATGAAAACAGAGTTTATTAGTTCATATAACTGTAGATTCTAAGGAAACGGAGTCTGGACCCAGGAGCTCAAATGATATTATCAAAGATTGATCTCTGCTTTCTTTTGTCTTCATTCTCAGGCAGGCTGTCTCCTATCATACATGACTTCACTGTCAACCCCCACTCTGCAGGATGTAAATCTGGAGAGAAAAGCAAGAACTAAAGTGGGAGCCCTTCAGTTAATTCTGATGTGGCTTAATTGGTTTGGCATGGCCCATGTGCCTATAACTGAATAATCGCTGTTGCCAAATGCATTGAGTCTTCTGATTGGCTATACATAGGTTCACGATCACTCTTGATGTGAGGTTGAGGATAAGCCCTCTGCCAGATGAATTCGGGAAAGGGATTGTTTGCCAAAGGAAATTATCAACAGAAGGAGAATTAATGCTTGGCATGCACTGACTATTGTCAATGTGTATGTGGGACTCTTTCCCTTCTTTTTAGCTTTCAGCTGTAGTCAACACTATGCTCAGTGGTTGTAGTAGCCCACTAACATTACAAAGGTCTAATTTACCTATAATACCTCCTTATTCACTTTGTTAAACTTCTTATGATTACAGGGCTCTATTCTCACAGGGAGCTTTTTGCATTGCTTTAAGGTTCTAGCTGTTCTAGACCTTCTGTATTGTTAATAACACTAATTAAATGCCTACTCAGTGCTGCACACTGTAAAGACTATAAAGAAGAATAAACTGTGGTCCCTGAGCTCTCGATGCTCACATAGTTATTGAAGTAATTACATACTGACAGAATGTACTGTGATATAAAGTACTATAAGGCATTGTCATAGGGTAGAGAAATAAAGATTAATTTTGAATAAGGGGATCTAGAAAGCTTTTGTTTGTTTTTTTTTTTTTTTTAACTTAAAATGTTTGAGTTGAACTTTGGCAGATAACTAATGGGGGGGAAGGGCCTTCAGGATAAGGAACTAGCTTAAGCAAAGGCATAGAAGGATCCAGAATGGATTTGAAACTAGAATAGATTGAAGTGGTTACCTTCATCTGTGTGTGGGTTAGTGTGGTAAGGAGTTGGGGGTGGAGTAAGCATTCAGTGAAGATCAATTTTGGAGGCCTTTTGAAAATCTGACTTAGCAGTTTGCGAGAGGGGCGGAGGAAGGAGAGTGCTGAGGAGATGGCAGAGGTTTTTCAGAATAGTGTGATCAAATCTGTGTTAGGAAGATAATTCAAACTGGATAGATTTAAGGGTAAATCAGGGATTGTTTGTAAGAGATAATTGGCTTGAACTATGAGAGTGGTAATAGAGGCAGGGGCAAGGGACATTAGAGAAATAAAATATATACTATGGAATGGGCAAAAGGAGGGGTGAAATGATTCTGAGATTCGGGGCATTCATAGTTGACCAGTTGATCCTGCAAGGGGTCACAGGTTTAAGCTCAAGAAGAGTTATATTTGTACTTAAAATACTTGTTGAACCTACAGGTCAGGAGGTCTGGCTGGCAACTAACTCTGTAAAAGTTGTTCCACATTTTGAAGGAAAGAATAGAAAAATACGGGCTGTGTATTTTTTAAGAAAGTATACAACATCAGAAACGGCTTAGAGAAATGGCACGAAGATATAGACATAAGTGAGAAGTTAACAGTTCCTTACTAGATCAGAGGTTATTATCTTGGCTATAATGTGTCAGTTGTAGGAAGGAGAGTCACATATCAGAATTATTTTTTATCTGATTATAAAGTGTGGGAAAATAAAAAATCTATTGAGGGGAAAAAAGAACTATCCATAGTTCTATAACTTCGAAGTTCACTAATGTGTTTGTTTACATGTGTATATTTTTATATACTACATACATACATAGTAGCTAATATATTTTGAGTTCTTATATGCCAGGCACTATTCTTAAGTATTTTCCATTTAACTCATTTAATTTCAGAATGATCTCTTAAGGTAGGTACTATTATCTCCATGTTATAGACAGGGAAACTGAGGCATAAGAGGTTAAGACTTTGACCAAGATTGTATAATTAGGAAAAGATAAAGCCAGAATTCAACTCCAGAAAGTCTTAATTTCCTAATTCTTCATCTTGCACCTATCCTGTATCTCTCACATACTGTGCTGACACAGGTGTCTTTTCTGATTAACATTCTCACTATTCAGTTTAGAAACCAAAGATTTCCTGTGAGTTATAAAAAATTATTCCTTTTAGGGTACCTGGCTGGCTGTCAGTAGAGCATGCTCGGGGTTGTAAGTGTGAGCCCCACATTAAGAGTTTATTTTAAAATAGAAAAAAATTTGTTTTGATTATTCCTTTTGTATTTGACTCTTGTTACTTATTAACCAATATTTAGGAATCAGATTCTCAAATAGTGAACTATCTCTCCCTATCCAGATTCAACTCAATTCACAATACTTAATGATACATACACACAAATACATATCTGTGAATGATGACTATATGTATCTTTTACAAAATTGTTACTGTATAGTTTTTTTATTCTGAAAACCTTCTCCTTTACTTGGACTTACATATACCCAGTTTTTTTCTAATTTAAGCCTCTGTATTATGCTTGCATATGATTTTCATGTATAATTTTTATCTTTGGATGTAGATGGTAACATTAGCTAATTTGACCCAAAGAAGAGAGATGACAGGAATTCCAAATAGATTACTGGTTCTGCTACTGAATCCTATAATATTAAAAATTAATCAGCACAGTTAAGTTGCAATAACGCATATCAGAAATTTAATTCCTATTTGCTGAAATGGTAATGATTAATCCTAATTGGATGCCTACATTTTCAGAAAGATGTGCCGGATGGGGTGAAAGAGCTATCAGAAGGTTCAGAAGAAAGCAGTGATGGTCAGTCAGATTCCCAGAGTTCTGAGAACAGCAGCAGCAGCAGTGATGGTGGCAGCAACAAGGAGGGAAAAAAGAGCAGGTGGAAAAGGAAAGGTAAATCCACCTGTTCGCTCAATAAAGTATTGAATGCTATACGACAAAAGCCCTTGTTAGTAGCTCCACTTTTTTCAGACCCCAGGACAGTTCATCTTTTTCCCTTCCCTCTAGATTGGTAATGTCCTAGAATTTCTTGCAATGATGGAAATGTTCTGTGTCTGTGTTGTCCAACCTAACACGGCCAGTAGCTAGTCTACAGAGCACTTGAAATATGGCAGTTTGAATAAGGAACTGAATTTTTTATTCTTTTTAAATTTTAATTTAAATAGCCACATGTGTCTAGTGGCTACCAGTTGGATAACACAGCTCTCTAGGTTTTACCTGGGTTTTTATTCAGCTCTTTGTCATCCCTAGCTTTTTTGAAGGATGCTGTCATCTTACTTGCCTCTTTAATCCTCTCTTCTAAACTTGAACACTTATTGCTCTAATAGCTCTCTACTTAACCAGGAAAAGAATGCTTTTCATTTCAGCTAGCAAAGACTAAATTTAATCTGCTGTTCTTTGCTCTCCCCTGCTTGGTGTCTGCTTTATAGCTTACGCAAAAAACTTTTTTTTAGAGAATAATGTCTTTGTTGCCACAGCTTCTTTGGGATGGATTTTCCACTTAAGGATACATTTTATTAAAAAAAAAACAAACAAAACAAAACAAAAAGGATATATTTTATTACCTATTCTTGCTAATTATTCATAGCTTCTTGTCAGAGTCTTCTTGAAGAGGGCAAATTGTTTTCACCTCAGTTTTTATAAATTTAGCTATACATGGCAGAGCAGATTTAAGTCAACTCCTGATGATTCCTTTACAAGGATTAATGTAATGGTATTCTAGAACAAAATGACATCCAAGAATTTCCCTAGCCTGGATATCCTCTTAGGTTTGTGTTACGGATATGAGCTGTCCTTAGATCTAGAAGATAGAGTTATGTTTGTGGGAATACTTGATTCATTAATTTTAAGTGCCTTTGGAATTATTGATGTGGAACTGTATCAGAAAAATAGTCTGATTCATTACCATTCCTGCATTCATGTGTGTGCTACTCCTGGAGGGAACTAAGATAATTGGTGACATCATTTGTGTTCTCTGGTAAAGCTACCATACATGCAGTTTGGGTAAATTTTATAAGAGGATTTTAGCTTTTAGATCATAATTACTTGGAGAGTAACCCAGACCTCAGGTGTTAGGAACAAATAGAATAAAGTCAAGATAAAGTTAGTACCTGTGACCAGTATTCTTGAGAGATATACATATATTAAAATCAATAGTGATGATTGAAAGGAGGTGTGGTCCAGGCCCTACATTCCTCAGAGTCCACTAAGGATGTTTTTTGGAAGAATGGAGCCAAAAGTGTTAAGAGCTCTATCTTTCCTGCTTGTCTGTGGTTTAAACTTTTTCTTTCTTTCTTTTTAAAGATTTATTTTTTTTTATTTTAGAGAGAGAGAGCCCACAAACAGGAGAGGCAGAGGGATCCCAAGCCAACTTTACACTGGGCATGGAGCCAGTCACAGGGCTTGATCTCACAGCCCTGAGATCATGACCTGAGCTGAAACCAAGAGTCAGATCCTTAACCAACTGCACCACCGAGGTGCCCCACCTAGTTTAAACTTTTAATTTTGGAAGTTACTGATCTAAGATTAGGAACCAAGCCAAATCATCAAGCAAGAGAAACAGCAAGATTCATAATTTCCAACAAGATGTGGCTAGAAACAGGGAAATCAGTAACTAAGTAGGCCAGACTAGCAAATTTGGGAACAGAATCATGGTCTTGGGGTCATTCCTTTTCACTTTTCAGTAGCCATATATGCTGTAGTAGCTGTTTGTTATGTGTTTGTTAAAGTTACATGTTTGTTAAAGGCAATCCCTGAGAAATTAAGGTGAATGTACTGTGATACAGGAAGATCTAAGAACTAACAGTAGAATCGCATTGTCAGTAGATTAATAGATTTTTTTAAAAAAAGATTTTATTTATTTATTCATGGGAGACAGAGAGAGAGGCAGAGACACAGGCAGAGGGAGAAGCAGGCTCCATGCAGGGAGCCCGATGTGGGACTCGATCCTGGGATCATGCCCTGGGCTGAAGGCGGTGCTAAACCGCTGAGCCACCTGGGCTGCCCATAATAGAAGATATTTAACATCAAAGTAAGAGCGAATTTAGAATTGTGGTCCAGATAAACTCTTCTGTCATGCCTTTGTACTCATTCCTCTTCTAGAAATTATCACATTATTGAATATTTACTCTCCATTTACATTAAGATGAGATGTTCTATAAAGATCTTTTCTGATGATAGGTAGTCTATTAAACTGAGGACACACACACAAAAAAAAAAACTGAGGACAGACTATATATGCTGTTTGGAAGGGAAAGGGAAAGGTGCAAATGATGTCATATGGGATTCATGTTTACCCTTTGCTGAGCTACCCACAATGAAGAATGATTTAGTTTCTAATAGAATGTGCTTCTCTCGTTCATGGGTCATACATAGGTATGTGGCATAGATACATAAATTTTTAGGTATATGTTACATAATCTGTGAATGTTTTTGTAGCCCAGTGTAAATTGACGTGGAAAATTTGTAGGTAGCAGTGATAGGGCAACAGGGCAGTTCTAAATCAGTTATAGTTATTAATAAAGGTAAAGCAAAGTAATTGTGCTTATTCCTTTTTCTTATTTAGGGCTTTTACTCTCAATCTGACATCACTTTTATTTCAAAAGCTTTGTAAGACAGGAAGAACATTGAGATAGTATCAAAAACCCACTTCCTTTTATGTACAAAAATAAAGAGCTCTGACAGCAAAACTGATACTTCTAGTTGAAAATCGATAGAAACTCTCTTGATAATAGGTATACCTTTCAGCCAAATAGGGACAGAGAACAGAACTTTGAAATTCAGTCCAATATCAAAACTAGTTTATTGATTTCCAAGTTCTTCCATAAAGTGGAAGAACTTAGAAGTTCACAGTTTTGGTTCCTAATTGTCAGACAGGAAACAATGTTCAGAGAAGAGCTTTATGGAATTCCAAGTCAAGGTAAGGTGAAATAAATCCAGAAAAAAAGATTAAAATCAACTTTTTCTGTTGCTTTTTTTGTAGGACCATAGCTAAGCAAAGTCTCTGCCTTTTCCCCAAGATAAAATATAAATATTGCTGCATGAAGCAATGATAGAAGGAGGATTATTTTTTATCTTCTGATAGAGAAAAGTTTTGTTGAATTTTGGCCTGCTTTTTAAGTATCTTAAGAAAAAAATTAATTATGTAAAATATACCTTTTTACTTAAAAGGAATTACTAGTTCTTTCCTGGGGCATGATCGAATGTTAATTTATTTGCTTGTTCAAAACTACTTTAAATCAGGAATTTGATAACTACTATGTTTGGAGTTATTTCAAATACCAAAGACCTGCCTGCCCTCTAATATCATTTCTAGATATAAGTTTACTGAATGGGGATGACTATATATAGAAATGTCTCCTTTAAAAAGTATCCTGGGGAGAACAGCTCCTTTGACAAAGTTAACTTTTGTGGAGAGAGATCTTTCAGAGAGATGCTGTCTTTGTTCTGTGGTGTGGTTGGTTGGTGGCTGGGTCAGAGGTTTTAGCTCTGTCATATATTAAAGATGTCTCCACTATTAGTACTTGGATAGGTAGGTTACCCAGAAGCAAGAAAAGGTGTCCAGGTATGGCCTCTCCATCTTTGATTAGGAGATTGTTTGAATATTCATCAGTAGCGGCAACCTGCACTTGGTGTTGGAAGAAGGTACTTAAAAACTAAAACAGTCGGTTAACTCTTGGAAATGAAATTCCTCAAAAGACAGACTGTGGTGAAAATAAAAACTCTCCTTTAAGAGGTTTACTATTTGTGAAGATTAGAACAATTTTTGATACTTCAATTGTTAATCAGTCTTTCAGCTATTAATTCTTCAACTATAGAAAAAAACTAAGCTTCAATTTTGATGTTACTGCTTCATTATTTCTGGTAGTATCTCTAATACTTTAGAGGGATTCATTGAATATCTTCAGGAAACATAAAATAGTCAAGAATTACTAAGGTCTTCAATTCAAAGACATCTAAGATGGATAATCTATCCTTTTGACCTTGTTCAGTGTAATAGTCATCCATTGAAATGGAAAATTCTCAATGCTGTAATATATCTGAAAAGTAGTTCCTTCTGAATGTATACTCAGTGGGTAATACTAATTGTTCAGCAACCCGAAACTACTTCAGTAAACTATATAAAACTGGCTTTAAGTGCCTCAAGTTCTAGGGGCCCTGGGTGGCTCAGTTGATTAAGCCTCTGACTCTTGATCTCAGTTCAGGTCTTGATCTTAGGGTCGTAAGTTCAAGCCTCAAGTTCTAAAATTTGTTTTAGATATTTTTCAGAAAATAATTGTAAGCTTAAATTTTTTTTTAAATTTTTATTTATTTATGATAGTCACAGAGAGAGAGAGCGGCAGAGACACAGGCAGAGGGAGAAGCAGGCTCCATGCACCGGGAGCCCGATGTGGGATTCGATCCCGGGTCTCCAGGATCACGCCCTAGGCCAAAGGCAGGCGCCAAACTGCTGCGCCACCCAGGGATCCCTAATTGTAAGCTTAAAAACTCATTTCTTTACTAGGCTGCTGGGTTTTTGTTTGTTTTGCTTTTTAAGTCAAATAGTAACTTGATCTTTTGATTAGAATTTGTTAATATTTAATAAAAAAGAATTTGTTAATATTTTATTAGGTCTGTGTATTCATATGAAAACAAGCATTTTTGTTTCTAATCAGATACTACATATGTTCCTAAATAAAGAGAGCTTTTAAGCATTGAGCAGTCCATATTTGAAGACCAGGAGATCAGGATATAATCCTGAGAAGCAGTATTATTTAGGCAGTAGTTTATTTACAGAACCAAAGAAATATCTCTAGACTGCTTGCCACACTTTCTTTTTCCAGTGCTATATACTATTTGCTAGGTATTTGGGGCAACCAATTTAAATAAGGTGCAGGCCCCATCCATATCTAGAA